TCATCGTCATCGCCATCATCATCAACGTCATCCCCACCACCACTACCACCACCACGATCAACATCATCACCATCACCATCACCACCTTCACCACCATCACCACCATCACCACCATCACCATCATCACCTTCACTGATCACCTTCACCACCATCACCACCGCCTCCACCACCAGGCGAACTGCAACCTGTTTTAATCCAATTTTTTATGGAGTAAACTTGAATTCGTCGCCACATTATCACTTTCAGGCCTTTTTCCTCGCATTCTTTACCAAATAACATGTCCTCAAACCTTACAAGCTGAGGGCGATAACTGACGCCTTTTTCATTGATGAGCTTTAGATTTAGGAATACTGCAGCTCTAGGAGGCTTACGCACAAAGGCTTCTTCCTCTTTAAACTTTAAATTGGGGAAACCTAAGGGACTTATTGCAACCAAATTGTTACCCTCATTTGCTTTAACAATGCTTTCAAATTTCGTAAAAACTTCATTGAATCTTCGGCGACGTAAATAGTATCTCTTTTTTAGTTTACGACGACGTTTTGGGTGAACTTCATAAAACTGTTTTACATCATCATCAATCATCCAAATATACTTGAGGCCCAGTGAAGTTGCGATCTTTTGAATCCAGTACCTTGCGTACCCGACACCTATTTTGTTGTCTGGGAGACTAATGATGGGCAAATAATTACCACAATGCTTCTGATATTCCTCAAACTGACTTGGCCGTACTACAATTATTCTAATGGTGATCTCTTCATCTATGCCCGCTTCACTCCAGTCAAAAAGACCACAGTTTGCGCGCATATATGAAGGAATAAAAATCCATCTTCTAGTAAGATTAGGGCGCTCGGCTGACGTAAAGCCAGACTTTTCTAAGAACGTTTTCTTATGTTTAGGGACACTCACTTTTAGCATGTCTCCGTTGACATCGAGATTCTGCTCCTCAAAATCTTTATTTGTGGTACCAGTTGAAGGGTCAGGTAAAGACTTAGCTGTATAATGTCCTTCTTCTAGAGATTTGTTCTGTCTCTGGCCATCATCAGACTGGGTCTCTTTCGGTTTTATCTCTTGTATAAATGTGGGAAGGTCTCTGTAAACTCTTCGAAGATCAATTTTCTCCCCCTGTTTCCATTTTTTGCTGACTGGGTATCTATTTGAATAGCTGATCAGGTTATCAAAGTCTTCATTTAAGTAATCATTAGCTTGATGATCTTGCCAAGGATGATCTTTCAGCCACTCGTGGGGAGTCTGGGGGAGTCTCTTGGG